GTAAATCAGCACCATACGGTGGAAACTGACATCCACATCCTCAAGCAACAGGCAGCCCTATTCCACCACATCAGCCTCGACACTACCAGCGCCGGATTCCAGGAGGTCTGGGACTGGCTCACCTCATGGCTACCGGATGTGGGGACTTGGGGAGAGCGTATTTACTTTTTTTGACTGTTATTGGTTTTGCGTTATTTTTGTATGCCTACAATGCTGCAGTATGTGCTGTCGGCTGTTGCTAACCGTGCAGCGCGGTTACTCAGCCCCGATATAGCCTACTGATGTACAAAAAAAAAGGGAGGACTGTTAAGGAAAAGTTAGCACATGTGACTCCATTTTGGAATCCCTGTTGAGGTTACAGGGACAAACCATCCCGATGAGTCGAAAGAATAGTAAATATGGCAGGTGACCAGCTTGGCTTAATGGTGAAATCTTAGCGGATCTTAAACATAAAAAAGAAGCTTACAAGAAGTGGAAAGTTGGACATATGACCAGGGAAGAGTATAAAAATATTGCTCGGGCATGTAGGAATGTTATCAGGAGGGCCAAATCGCACCTGGAGCTGCAGCTAGCCAGAGATGTCAAGAGTAACAAGAAGGGTTTCTTCAGGTATGTTGGCAACAAGAAGAAAGCCAAGGAATGTGTGGGCCCCTTACTGAATGAGGGAGGCAAACTAGTGACAGAGGATGTGGAAAAAGCTAATGTACTCAATGCTTTTTTTGCCTCTGTTTTCACTAACAAGGTTAGCTCCCAGACTGCTACGCTGGGCATCACAAAATGGGGAAGAGATGGACAGCCCTCTGTGGAGATAGAGGTGGTTAGGGACTATTTAGAAAAGCTGGACGTGCACAAGTCCATGGGGCCGGACGAGTTGCATCCGAGAGTGCTGAAGGAACTGGCGGCTGTGGTTGCAGAGCCATTGGCCATTATCTTTGAAAACTCGTGGCGAACCGGGGAAGTCCCGGATGACTGGAAAAAGGCTAATGTAGTGCCCATCTTTAAAAAAGGGAAGAAGGAGGATCCTGGGAACTACAGGCCAGTCAGCCTCACTTCAGTCCCTGGAAAAATCATGGAGCAGGTCCTCAAAGAATCAATCCTGAAGCACTTGCATGAGAGGAAAGTGATCAGGAACAGCCAGCATGGATTCACCAAGGGAAGGTCATGCCTGACTAATCTAATCGCCTTCTATGATGAGATTACTGGTTCTGTGGATGAAGGGAAAGCAGTGGATGTATTGTTTCTTGACTTTAGCAAAGCTTTTGACACGGTCTCCCACAGTATTCTTGTCAGCAAGTTAAGGAAGTATGGGCTGGATGAATGCACTACAAGGTGGGTAGAAAGCTGGCTAGATTGTCGGGCTCAACGGGTAGTTATCAATGGCTCCATGTCTAGTTGGCAGCCGGTATCAAGTGGAGTGCCCCAAGGGTCGGTCCTGGGGCCGGTTTTGTTCAATATCTTCATAAATGATCTGGAGGATGGTGTGGATTGCACTCTCAGCAAATTTGCGGATGATACTAAACTGGGAGGAGTGGTAGATACGCTGGAGGGGAGGGATAGGATACAGAAGGACCTAGACAAATTGGAGGATTGGGCCAAAAGAAATCTGATGAGGTTCAACAAGGATAAGTGCAGGGTCCTGCACTTAGGACGGAAGAACCCAATGCACAGCTACAGACTAGGGACCGAATGGCTAGGCAGCAGTTCTGCGGAAAAGGACCTAGGGGTGACAGTGGACGAGAAGCTGGATATGAGTCAGCAGAAGCTGGAGAAGCTGGATATGAGTCTTGTTGCCAAGAAGGCCAATGGCATTTTGGGATGTATAAGTAGGGGCATAGCGAGCAGATCGAGGGACGTGATCGTTCCCCTCTATTCGACACTGGTGAGGCCTCATCTGGAGTACTGTGTCCAGTTTTGGGCCCCACACTTCAAGAAGGATGTGGATAAATTGGAGAGAGTCCAGCGAAGGGCAACAAAAATGATTAGGGGTGTAGAACACATGACTTATGAGGAGAGGCTGAGGGAGCTGGGATTGTTTAGCCTGCAGAAGAGAAGAATGAGGGGGGATTTGATAGCTGCTTTCAACTACCTGAAAGGAGGTTCCAAAGAGGATGGCTCTAGACTGTTCTCAATGGTAGCAGATGACAGAACGAGGAGTAATGGTCTCAAGTTGCAGTGGGGGAGGTTTAGATTGGATATTAGGAAAAACTTTTTCACTAAGAGGGTGGTGAAACACTGGAATGCGTTACCTAGGGAGGTGGTAGAATCTCCTTCCTTAGAGGTTTTTAAGGTCAGGCTTGACAAAGCCCTGGCTGGGATGATTTAACTGGGAATTGGTCCTGCTTCGAGCGGGGGGTTGGACTAGATGACCTTCAGGGGTCCCTTCCAACCCTGATATTCTATGATTCTATGGTTTGGGGCCCACCATTGTCTAAAAGCAAGCACATCATGCACCAGAAGGAGTGAGCCAGCCTGCCTTGACTCCCAGTATCTATTTTTTGTCAGTCTCTAACTCCCTGTCTCTTGGCCTTTGATGTGAGGCCTCCCATCCTGATAATAAAAGTTACTGATGCATGGCTTTAGGACCATGCTGTGTAATTAACATACTGGTTTAGCATGAGGAATGCACCACGCAGGGATAGGTGGTAGATAAGAAAATGGTTTGTTTATTGGCTAAGGTTTCTGATGCACGAGGGCAACATGCTTTGCTAAAAAGTATATAACCTTTGTATAATCTGTATTCGGGGTCCCCTCCTGGCAAGCAGGGGGGCACCACGCTCGAGCGTAATAAACTTGGTGTTTTTTGGGAACTCTGCAGTTGCGGACTTTGTTTATGTGCCTCAGCCTAGATTCGAACGGCGCTTGACCTACCAGGTATAATTCGCCACAGTTGTGTCCGTGTCCTACCAGGTATAATTCGCCACAGTTGTGTGCATGCCCTACCAGGTATAATTCGTAACAGTGCGAGGAGCTGGGAGCAAGAGATGCAAGAAGCTGAGAGTGAGAAGGCATGCTACTGGAAGAATGAGAAGTACAAGCATTATCAGACATCAGGAGGAAGGTCCTGTGGTGAGAATAACGAAGGTGTTGGGAGGAGGCCATGGGGCAGTAACCCAGGGAGTTGTAGTGGTCATGCAGCGGTTACAGGAGCCACTGTAGACAGCTGCAATCCAGAGGGCCCTGGGCTGGAACCCGGAGTAGAGGGCAGGCCTGGGTTCCCCCATCCCCTGCAACTCCCTACTGGATACCGGAGGAGTTGACCTGGACTGTGGGTTCCACCCGAGGGGAAGGTCTCTGGCCTGTTCCCCGATCCACTAGGTGGATCAGCAGAGACTGCAGGGATTGTTCTTCTTCCTTTTCCCCATGCTGGCCAGTGATGAGGCTAACTGAGTGAATGGCAGATATGAGCCACGAAAGTGGCCAAACTGATGGCTGCAGTGAACCTCTGAGGCGAGAAAATCCACCAATAAGCGCAGGACCCACCAAGACAGAGGAGGAACTTTGTCACAATACATATACACACTTGGGGCTTTAAGAGGACCAATTTCACAAAGCTGAAAACAATATGAGCCAAATCAACTAGGAGGAAGAATTTAATCAAAGAAGGTGGCTGATCATTTGGAATTGTTTAAGAACACTATTAGATCAAAAAGCCATAACTGAGGAAGAAGGCTGGACTGGTTAAAAACTATTTGGTTTTGAAGGAAAGTGAAGGCAGCTATATATATAAACAAATGGAAGAAAGGGGAAGTTGATAGCAATGAATATAAATCAGAAGCTAGGAATTTTAGAAAATTGATAAGGGAAGCAACGGGACACAAGGAGAAATCTGTAGCCAAAAAGAAGAAGGATTTTTTAAAGTATATTGCAGAAAAAAAAGAATCCTAACAAGGCATTACTAGATGGAAACGATAGAACCATCAAATATAATGCAGAAAAGGCAGAAGTATTCGGTAAATGTTTCCGCTCTCTATTTGGGTAAAAAAAAACACGTCATATTATATGATAACACTCTTTCTATTCCGTTAGTATCTCTGGAAGGTGTTAAACAGCAGCTACTGAAGTCAGACATTTTAAAATCAGTCGGTCTGGATAATTTGCATCCAAAAGTTTTAAAAGAGCTAACTGAGGAGCTTACTGGATCATTAATGTTGATTTTCAAGAAATCTTGGAATAGCAGTGAAGTTCCAGAAGATTAGCTTTCTCACAATATTTTTAAAAGAGATCATAGAATCATAGAATATCAGGGTTGGAAGGGACCCCAGAAGGTCATCTAGTCCAACCCCCTGCTCAAAGCAGGACCAATTCCCAGTTAAATCATCCCAGCCAGGGCCCAAAACTGGACACAGTACTCCAGATGAGGCCTCACCAATGTCGAATAGATGACTGGGTGATTATAGGCCAGCTAATCTGACATGGATCCCAGGCAAGATAATGGAGTGGCTGATATGGGACTCAATGAATAAAGAATTAGAGGATAATATATGCCTATCAACATAGATTTAGGGAAACAGATCCTGTCAAACTATTTTTTTTGGTGAGATTACAAATTTGGTTCATAAAGGCAATAGTATTGATGCACTATTGATTTCTGTAAGGTATTTGACTTGGTACTCAACACATTTTGAATAAAAAACTGGCAAAATAAAATTAACATGGCACATATTCATGGATTAAAAGCCAGCTGAGAGGTCTCAAAATGTAACTGTAAATAGGAAATCATCATCAAATGGGTGTGGTGTCTACTGTGGTATCACAGGGACCTATTATTGGCCCTACTCTATTTAACATTTTTATTAATGACCTAGAAGAAGGCATAAAATTAGCACTGATAAAGTGCAGATAACACAAATTGCGGGATTGATAAATAAGGAAGAGGATAGGTTGCTGACACAGAGCAATCTGGATCGCTTCGTAAACTGGGTGCCAGCATACAATATGCATTTTAATATGGCTAAATGTACTGTATACATCTAGGAGCAAAGAATGGAGGCCATACTTACAGGATGGGGGACTCTATCCTGCAGAACAGTGACTCTGAAAACGATTTGGGGGTCCTGGTAGATAGTCAGGTGAACATGAGGTCCCCAGTGTGGTGCTGTGGCCAAAAGATCTAATGCAATCCTGAAATGCACAAATTAAATAATTTTCAGTAGGAGCAAAGATGTTATTTTACCTCTGTATTTGGCACGAGTGCAACCACTCCTCTAATACTGTGTCAAATTCTGGTGTCCACAATTCAAGAAGGATATTGATAAACTGGAGAGGGTTCAGAGAAGAGCCACAAGAATGATTAAAGATTTAGAAAATAAGCCTTATAGTGATAGACTCAAGGAGCTCGATCTACTTAGCTTAAAAAAAAAAAGTTAAGGGGTGACTTGACTATACGCTAAGTACCTATACGTCGAACAATTAGAGAAAGGTATAGCAGGATGCTGAAGCTAGACAAATTCAGACTGAAAATAAGGTGTAAAAGCTGAACAGTGAGAGCAATTCCACTTGAACAACTTACCAAGGGTCATGGTGGCTTCTCCATCACTGACAATTTTTCAATCAAGATTAGATATCTTTCTGAAAGATATGGTCTAGGAATTATTTTGGAGACTTACTCTGGTCTGTGTTATACAGGAGGTCAGACTAGATGATCATAATGATCCATTCTGTCATCTATGAAAAGGGGCCATTCTAATCCACACTCCAGGTCAGAGGTGATCTAATAATAGCCTTCCAAGAGATGTAAATGCCAGGTTATGGAGTGAAGCAGCAGGTGCCACTAGAGGCTATTGAACCACCAGTACTACTAGAGAATACACCTCCAGATAGTTGTTTATAAGAAAATCAAGCCAGAGTTTGTCACCATGCTGTAGGTGCAGACTGCACAGTTGGACATTTGTTGCACACACAACAATTTGAGAGCTTTTACAGCATGAGCTGCAAATACACAAATGTTTACACCTGTGGCAACTGCTCCTACCTTTAGCTGGCATGGCCTGTGGCTCAGAAGACAGCATCATAACAAATCCTGTGATTTACTCTATATTAAGACTTTCTGATTTGGAGTTTAGTGCTAAATAATGTCACCTATAAATGATCTGCTACCACCTGGGGTCAGATGGATGGAGTGGTATGTTCTCGTCTCAAATTCTGCCCACAACCCAGGAGTACTTGGCTGTTTCCACTAATATGATCAGCAGCTAAATAGTTTTCAACGTCAACATTTAAAATGTTGGTTGTCTAAGATGTTCAGAACTTTCATAATACCAAATGTGGCCCCAATCTTCTGCAAAGCACGTGTCAATGGAGAACAGAAGAACTACTGAAGGAAAACAAATATCCCCCACCAATCTGGCAGCATTGTGTGGAGTAGCTGTTGAGATGCTCTGCTGCAACCACAGCCCATAAGCTGTAATAACAGTTGGAGGATCTCTGCTTCCTTCAGGTGGGGGATTCTGCCAAGTGGTGAATGCACTGACTATCCCACTAATGCTCTCCCACCATGAAGCTCACAACCTCATCACCCCTGCACAAAAACTGGAAAGTAGTGGGAGATAAGTTGTGCCAGAGTGGGGAATTGTGTGTGTCTGAGGGGAAGGGGTTACTTTCAGGAGAAGAGGCCATTGTCATGCATTTAGGACCTTCCATGCTTGCACAGGTATAGGAGACAGCACTTGACTCTTGGAGCTTTTATTTCTTTTGTCTGCAGACTCGGCATTGCACTAGGTAACACCTGGAGCAACATATGATTAATAAATTCATAAGCCAGAAGGGACCATTATGATCATCTAGTCCAGTGGTTCTCAAACTGTGGGTTGGGACCACAAAGGGGGTCACGACCCCATTTTAATGGGGTCGCCAGGGCTACAGGCCCCTCACCTAGGGCTGAAGCGGTTAGGCTTTGACTTTGGCCTCTCCGCCTGGGGTGGTGGGGTTCGGGCTTTGGTCCCCTCTCCTGGGGTTGTGTAGTAATTTGTCATCAAAAGAGGGTCACGGTGCAATGAAGTTTGAGAGCTGCTGATCTAGTCTGACCTTCTGTACAACACAGACCACAGAAGTTCCCCAAAATAATTCCTAGAGCATATCTTTTAGAAAATAATGTTTAATCCTGATTTTAAAATGGTCAGTGATGGAGAATTCACCACAACACTTGGTAAATTGTTCCAGCGGTTAATTACTCTCACCATTAAAAATGAACACCTTAGCTCCAGTCTGAATTTGTCTAGCTTCAACTTCCAGCCATGTTAGGCCTTTCTCTGCTAGACCGATGAGCCCATTTTAAAATATTTGTTCCCTGTGTAGGTACTTATAGACTGGGATCAAGTCACCCCTTAAATCTTCTCTTTGCTAAACTAAATGAGCGCTTTGAGCCTATCACTACAAGGTCTGTTTTCTAATCCTTTAGTTATTCTTTGTTGCTCTTCTCTGCAGTTTATCAACATCCTTCCTGAATTATGGACACCAGAACTGTAAACAGTATTCCAGCAGCAGTTGCACCAGTACCAAATACAGAGGTAAAATAACCTCTCTACTCCTACTCAAGAATCCCCTGAAACAAAATCTTACAATTAATGGGATATGGTGAGAATTTCTCAGCTTTGTTCCTTGTTCTTAGCCAGATTTCACGAGAAACGTATGCATACTTCCCCCCCGAGATCACTTGATCTTCTGTTGTCTGTGCCGAGGTCCTGTATCCTAGCAAAACAGAAAGAGGAACAATTCAGGATAATACCATAAGGATTTTTCTTCTTGTTTTAGTTTTTCAGTTCACATAATAAACTGCACCTTACTAATCTCTCTCTGTCATAACACTTATGAAGGGGAAGCACTGGCCTCTTCAGTGAAAAAAATTGTCCCCCCCTCAAACCTGGGTGAACTTGTAAAGGAATTAGAATAGGGACCAACCCATGCAGTGGGAGATCTAATCCCTTTTCTTACACAGGGGCACAATGAAGTTTTCATTACCCCAAGCCATTCATTCCCAACAGATGGGTGACTAAACTCAGCCTGGACTTTCTCACTTGATGGCAATTGCATCAGATCCCCAGCAACTTGTTCCAACTTTTAAAGTATTACTTTTTCCTAATATTTTTCCTATCGCAGTTTAAGCCTGTTCTTACTTGCTCTATAGTAAGAATCACTAGCCTCTAACCTGGCTTAAACACTTTTTCTCCTATAACCCTCCATCATTGTTTCTGGGTTGTATACGCTCATGTCTCCTTAACTTTTCTCCTGTGTCTTATTCACCAAATCTTTTGCCATTTTTTCCATTCCAGTTTATCTCTCTCCATTATGAAATGAGGGTCTTCAAACGAATCCTCGCCAGGTTGGGACAGCACTTAAGACATCAAGGTGATAGGTGCCATATGAATTCCCAAGAAGGAATAAGGATCTCAGCTGCCCACCATTAGTCCCACCCAAAGTCTCATTTTCCACCGCCCTCCTCAGTAACATCTCAGGCCTAACTTAAGTTTCAATATCAAGCAGTCAGAACCACCCTTTTTCAATAGCCCTCTATGCTTCAGGCTTGGGAACCCAGAGTGTATAGCTTTCCTGTTCTAAATGGGCTGAACATCTACATCTTCACAGCATTACAACACTGAAGATATGGATGGCACAGTGTTGAGAAAAGCTACACAGTGGTTCCCCAAATCCAGTGCCTAGTAAAGATATGATTGACTCAGATGACAGAACAGCTGTGGTCCAGGGTGAGAGGTCAAGTTCTATCATGGATTAGAAACTGGCTAAGAGACAGAAAACAAAGACGGGCTAAATTGTCAATTTTCTTCATGGCAAAAGGTTAACAGCAGGTGCCACAAAGTTTCCCTTCAAAGATGGGGCTTGCTTAATGTAATAATTATCTGGAGGAGGGGGTTAGTAGGGAGGTGACAAAATTTGCAGATGACAAATTATGTAGACTGGTCACAGATAGAGGCAATGGGGAGAAACTTCAGAGGGATCCTAAGAAAACGGGAAAATGAGCAGCCCGATGGCAAATGAATGTCAACGGATGTTGACAAATGCAAAGAAATGCACAATGGAAGGAATAATTCACTATTCACATATAGTGCTGACTTCTAAATGTACTGTACAAACTAGGAAAGATCTGTGGGTCACTGTGGGCAGAACCAGTCAAAAAGACAAAAACAAAACAAAACAAAAATGTTCGAATGCTAAAGGAATAGGATGGTGAAAAAATCATGGCTGTCAATTAATCGCAGTTAACTCCCGTGATTAACTGAAAAAAAAATGCGATTAAAATTTTTTTTCGCAATTAAAGAGTTAAACAATAGAATACCAATTGAAATTTATTAAATATTTTTGGATGTTTTTCTACATTTTCAAATATATTGATTTCTATTACAACACAGAATACAAGGTGTACAGTGCTCACTTTATATTTTTGTTTGCAAATATTTGCACAGTAAAAAAACCAAAAAAAATAGTATTTTTCAATTCACCTCATACAAGTACTGTAGTGCAATCTATCCTGAAAGTGTAACTTACAAACATAGATTTTTTTTTGTTACATAACTGCACTCAAAAACAAAACAATGTAAAATTTTAGCACCTACAAGTTCATTTCATCCTACTTCTGGTTCAGCCAATCGCTAAGACAAACAAATTTGTTTACATTTACGGGATATACTGCTGCCTGCTTCTTATTTACAATGTCACCTGAAAGTGAGAACAGGTGTTCACATGGCACTTTTGTAGGCAGCGTTGCAAGGTATTTACATGCCAGATATGTTAAATATTCATATGCCCCTTCATGCTTCAGCCACCATTCCATGCTGATGATGTTCGTTAAAAAATAGTGCGTTAATTAAATTTGTGACTGAACTCCTTGGGGGAGAATTGTATGTCCACTGCTCTGTTTTACCCACATTCCGCATATATTTCATGTTACAGAAGTCTCGGAGGATGACCTAGCACATGTCGTTTGATTTACGAACACTGTCACTGCAAATTTGACAAATGCAAAGAAGGTACCTGTGATGTTCCCCTCTGGTGTTATCCGGACCGGTGATCTGCTAGGTCACTCCAATCCTTGACTCTGGGAACCAGCCTTAACCTGCTCTGCTGTGAGAATCCCCCACTCCTGGGCTGTTCATGCACAGCCTCTGGCATGTAAGCTGCTCCCAGCTATTTGCAACTGAATGACACTAGCGAATATCTCCGGTCCCAGAGACAACCGTCTTGCAGTGTCCAGTTATGCCCCCTGGACGCTGCAAGCTTATATGACTTGGTCAATTTAACAAAGAAATTGATATGTACCAGGCTTGTTATCCCAAGGGGAGCCTCTGACACACTTCAGACCAAACACACTGATTCAGGTAGAACAAACAAATTTATTAACTATAAAGATAGATTTTAAGTGATTATAAATCAAAACACAAGTCAGATTTGGTCAAATGAAATAAAAGCAAAATGCATTCTAAGCTGATCTTAACACTTTCAATGCCCTTACAAACTTAGATGCTTCTCACCACAGGCTAGATGGTTGCTGCTCAACCAGGCTCTCCCCTTCGATCAGCACTTCAGTCGCTTGATGTGATGTCTGCAGATGTAGGTGGAAGAGGGAGAGAGCATGGCAAAGAGCATGGCAAAGAGCATGGCAAAGAGCATGGCAAATGTCTCTCCCTTTTACCATGTCCTTTCTTCCCTCTTAGCTTTGCCCCCCACCCCCTTCAGAGTCAGATGAGCATTACCACATCGCAGTTCCAAACTAACCAAAGGAAGGGGGGGGGGGTGACTCCCTCGAGAGACTAACAGATTCTTTTTTTGCTCCCTAGGCCATCACCCTTTGTTCCTGTGTGGTTGGGCTGGGTTTGTCTCATCAACGCCCTGATGAGGTGTGAACTGCCTTTCTGCTCTTGCAGAGTTTTTGCCTGGGCTTATTTTAAGCCATGGGGATACATTTTCAACTTCATGACTACCTACATGAAATTATAACCTATAACAACAATGCTCAGTACATCATGCGCCTTCCGAAGACACCCGACATGACAAACTTTGCACTGGATATCACATAATCATTTTACAAGGGGCTGCTGGGTGTCCCCCGGAGGTACAGAGCATCATAGTACCAATGACAGGTTTCAGAGTAACAGCCATGTTAGTCTGTATTCGCAAAAAGAAAAGGAGTACTTGTGGCACCTTAGAGACTAACCAATTTATTTGAGCATAAGCTTTCCTGAGCGACAGCTCACTTCATCGGATGCATACTGTGGAAACTGCAGAAGACATTATATACACAGAGACCATGAAACAATACCTCCTCCCACCCCACTCTCCTGCTGGTAATAGCTTATCTAAAGTGATCACTCTCCTTACAATGTGTATGATAATCAAGTTGGGCCATTTCCAGCACAAATCCAGGTTTTCTCACCCTCCGCTCCCCCCCCCCCCCCAAACAAACTCACTCTCCTGCTGGTAATAGCCCATCCAGTACCAATGTGAGATTTCTAAAAATAGCTACAGCACTTGACCCAAGGTTTAAGAATCTGAAGTGCAGTACAAAATCTGAGAGGGACAAAGCATGGAGCATGCTTTCAGAAGTCTTAAAAGAGTGATACTCAGATGTGGAAACTACAGAACCTGAACCACCAAAAAAGAAAAACAACCTTCTGCTGGTGGCATCTGACTCAAATGATGAAAATGAACATGATCGGTCCGCTCTGCTTTGGACTGTTATTGAGAAGAACCAGTCATCAGCATGATGCATCTCCTCTGGAATGGTGGTTGAAGCATGAAGGGACATATGAATCTTTAGAGCATCTGGCACGTAAATATCTTGCAATGCCGGTTACAACAGTGCCATGTGAACGCCTGTTCTCACTTTCAGGTGACATTGTAAACAAGAAGCGTGCAGCGTTATCTCTTGCAAATGTAACCAAACTTGTTTGTCTGAGCAATTGGCTGAAGTAGGACTGAGTGGACTTGTAGGCGCTGAAGTTTTACATTGTTATTTTTGAATGCAGGTTTTTTTTGTACATAATTCAACATTTGTAAGTTCAACTTTCACGATAAAGAGATTACACTACAGTACTTGTATTAGGTGAATTGAAATACACTATTTTTGTTTTTTACAGTGAAAATATTTGTAATCAAAAATATACAGTGAGCACTGTACATTTTGTATTCTGTGTTGTAATTGAAATTAATATATTTGAAAATGTAAAAAAATCCTTCTATTTATTGTTTAGCAGTGCGATTAATCATGATTAATTGTTTTAATTGCTTGACAGCCCTAGTTATAATGGCACTATTAGAGAGACACGGTGAGTGAGGTAACATCTTTCACTGGACCAACTTCTGTTGGTAAGAAAGACAAGCTTTGGAGCCCACTTTATCTCTCTAATATTCTGGCATCAACATAGCTACAACTACGCTGCATTCAATAATGGCATTATATAAGTCAGAACCTCACCCTCACTGGGCATATGATGTTCATTTCTGGTGGCCACCCTATCTGCTTCTGTAGGACAAAAGATTGAAAAGATTGGACTGTTCAGTTTAGTGAGGTGATAGAAGAGAAGGGATATGATAGCAGGATAAAAAAATGACAGGTCCAGAGAAGTTGGATTCAATGTTCCTACTTACCCTCTCAATAAAAGAGCAGGGAGACGGCCAACAAAATTGAAAGACATTACGTTTAAAACTGATAAAAGAAAAGATCTTTTTACACAATG